CCATACTATATACGGTGAATAACTGTAATTACATTTAATTTAATTTTACAGTAAAATACTGTTAAAAATACGGTTTTTGGAAGTGAAACAGAAAAAGTCATCGTATAATTTACAGTGACAAACTGTAAATTGACACTCCCAGAATTCCCTACATGACACTTCATATTTGATGTTTTTTTTTGTTGAAATAACATGTTTCTTCTTAGTTTTTTCGGGTTCGGGGTTTGTTCAAATGCTTAACTGTAAGTACAAGAAAATGAGTAATAGTATTAAAAAACACGCTATATAATAAAAACAAATGCGGTAAATTAATTGAAAATGAGTAATAGGCTTTAGATTGCTTCTTTTAGATTAAGTTCTTTTATCCACCAATGCTGAACAGGGATTGCAAAATATATTTTCACCACCCAGTACATGATACGGAAGAACACACAAAGTTCCCTGCGCATGCATGTAGAGTGAAGATGGCTGTGGAATAGATGTTTATATGCTTCCTGCAGTACTGAGCTCACCTTTAGCCTCGAGAGAGGCCTGTATGAGGACACGCCTCTCCTGAGGAACATCTGTGGGACAGAGACAGAAATAAAGACAGAAAAAAGGACAGAAGAGCAAGAGTGACAATCGAAGCGCAACAGCTAGTGTGCCAGCACGTCATATCCTGGGTCTATATTTACCAGCCTTTGGTGCAGACCAAGCCTGTCTCTCAGTCACAAGTGCCAAAATGCATCAACTGACAGGAAACAGGTTTATTATTATAATCATCACAAACAATAGCCACACAAATGCTAACATCATATTCAACACTGAAGAAGAACTGAATGATCAAGATAATAAAATGAATAAAAATGGCAAATTCTAAATATTATTTATACTTCACCCTGAACCATAAACCATACCATGTTTTTCTGTGGAATACAAAAGGAGAAGTGTTGAAGTACTGGCCACTATTTAATAGGGATCTGGGCTGTCAAGGTTAAAAATGAACTATGACTTATATGGTTGTCTATATGACCTATATTCTATGTTTTCAAAAAGCTTTGTGTGATGAGCAGACTGAAATTTAAGTCTTCATTATTAGTGAAGTTGCAATTTTCTTTTCTTCTCTGTTGTGACATACACTACTGATCAAAGGTTTGGAATAATTATGATTTTAATAAATACATTTTTAAAATAAATCTCTTATGCTCACCAAGTCTGCATTTATTTAATTAGAAATACCGTAAAAACAGTACTTTTGTAAAATATTATTTAGATTTAAAATAACTGTTTTCTATTTAAATATATTTTAAAATGTAATTTATTCATGTGATGCAAAGCTGAATTTTCAGCACCATTACTCCAGTCTTCAGTGTCGCACGATCCTTCAGAATTCATTCTAATATGCTGATTTGCTCAAGAAACATTTCTTAACATTAGCAATGATGAAAACAGTTTTTGCTGCTTAATAATGATGTGGAAACCATGCTGACATTCAAAAGTTTGGGTATGTGGGATTAAATGAATAAATAAATCAATCAACACTTTTATTCAGCAAGGATGCATTAAAAATGACAGTGAAGACATTTATAATATTACAAAATATTTATGTTTCAAATAAATGCTGTTCTTTTGAACTTTCTCTTCATCAAAGAATCCTGAAAAAAAATGTATCACAGTTTCTGCAAAAAAATATTAATCAGTAGCAAAAACTCTTTCAACATTAATAATAATAAGAACCATTATTAATAATTTAACACTAATAATAGCTGCTAATAATGAAGCACTAAATCAGCATATTAGAATGATTCTGATTTAATCAGTTCCCGATTGTCCATCTTCAACTGATTGACCTTGATAGCCTCGGTCCCCATTCACTTTCACTATATGCAAAAGAGCGTCCAGTACATTCTTTAACATTTCTCCTTTTGTGTTTCACAGAAGTCATGCAGGTTTCTAAACAACATGAGTGTGAGTACCCTAAATGATGACAGAACTTTCATTTGTGGCTGAACTATCCCTTTAAAACGCTTTAAGGCAAAGGGAGCGATGAAATCCCCAGCCTTAAATGTATGCCATCCTTTTGTGAGATATATTTAGATGATCTGAATGCGCTGGCCATCAGAGACAGCCACACAACCTGTAGAAGTCATTGTACAAGTAGGCTAACTAAGAGAAAAAGAGAAAGAAGCAGTGGATGTATAGGGAGAAGCCAATAAAGCAGGAACTGGCATTGTGAGACGCAGACTGAGCAATTAAAGAAAACTTCCTTTTTCCGATCAAAACTGCAGAGATGCTAAAGGTCAATGTCTTGCAGCTGCTCTGTTTTATAGAGTTTTACAGAACTGGACAACTTTACTGTGACAAACACTTGACCCTGATGATGTTTAACAAGTGCATTTGAGATAGCTACGCCGGGGAGTGTCTCAACAGGAAGAGACCACATCCTAGCTGAGAACAATACAAAAGCACACTTCTGTATGCAAAATCCAACTAATGCGCCACACTGAAACACTATTTTAATGCACACTGCTCATATATAAACGCTATTTGTTACTTATTGAACAGTCAAGCCAATTCACTACGTTTTACACGTCAAAGTGACAACAAAGAGTATTTCCGTACCCAGAAACCAAGTTTTGGACATACCTGCGTGTTCAGAGAGAGAGGCATCGCGCTTCTGGGTCGGTGGTTGGTCCGAATCTTAGAGTAAAAATCCACCATGCCTTTGTTTAGATCAGTCAATACAGCTGATCAGACAACATCAAACTCTAAATTATCCAACAGTGAGCATCATGGTGAACAGGCTGACCCTGAGTCGCACACACACAACATATACACCCTCTGCGTCTGCAGCCGATGATGCCACTAATGAACATCTGTCTTGAAGTGCTACTCTGCTAGAGTGAAAGGGGGAGGGGGCAGATACATAGAACAGACGGATGGAGAGACACAGAGGCAGACATGAGCGACTGAATACATAAAGATGCAGAGACAACGGGTCAGAAAAGAAGTGTTGACACTGAGAAGGTGTGCAATTGCTTGATTTCAGGTATCTTTGCAAACATAAAAGTCTTATATACTCTCAAGTCTAAATTGTCTAAGTTCCCCTTTTTCCTCATCGAAACAGAACCTACACCAGTCAAAGTCACTGACTTGAGTACATTTCCTCAAAATTACACATTTTGACCGTAACACCTCAGACAGCCGAAAAAAGCATGCTTGCATGCTTCCTCAATAAACAATACAGGATTGCTCAGAGGTCGGTCTTTTATAACTCAGTTTAAAGTGAACGTGAATTCATAACTGACCTTGTTTTCTTAAAGGGATAGTTCACCCAAAAATTTAAATTTGATGTTTATCTGCTTACCCCCAGGGCATCCAAGATGTAGGTGACTTTGTTTCTTCAGTAGAACACAAACGAAGATTTTTAACTCAAACCGTTGCAGTCTGTCAGTCATATAATGGAAGTGAATGGGAATCACGGCTTTGACTCCCAATTGAGATTGTAGATAGAGTGTTAATGGTCCATTTGAGAGATGGGTGGTGGTAATGCACTTATAAGTCTGCGATCGCCGTAAAGCAAGAAGAAGAAGAAGCCGGCTGTCGAGGACGCGCTCAGGACAGTTCAGACTGTTCAGACATTGAAGTGCATCAGAGGTAAAAAACGATATAAATACTGTTCAGTTTCTTGCACAGATCGTTTCATGTCTTTACACATCAGTGTATCGTCACGAGCCACAGGGTTTAATTTGGTTTTGTTTGTGTTTCTTTTTACTCCCAAAGCCGTGATTCCCATCCACTTACATTATAAGACTGATAGACGGCAACGGTTTGAGTTAAAAATCTTTGTTTGTGTTCTACTGAAGAAACAAAGTCACCTACATCTTGGATGCCCTGGGGGTAAGCAGATAAACATCAAATTTTAATTTTTGGTTGAACTATCCCTTTAAAACATGTTCCCGGTCTTATTCATTGGTGCATGCTGTTCTAAAGAAATAAAGTCTTTATCTTTCTTAAAAAATTTATTAACTTTAAACACATTTCCTTTCCTAATGATTTCATGGGCGATTATGTTACCAATGGCCAAATAGAAATTCAGGTGTTATTTATATATACAATCAATTCCCAACGGATGAATTCAAGTCTCACCATGCAATTTGTTTTTTTTTGTTGAATATCC